CTGAATCTAACCTCAAGCTAAATAAACAGAGATACTAAGCCCTCTCGCCGCGGATCCTCCTCGCAAGTTGCATGTCCTTCGGCATGATGGTGACCCTCTTGGCGTGAATCGCGCAGATGTTGGTGTCCTCGAAGAGTCCGACGAGGTACGCCTCCGCCGCCTCCTGGAGCGCCGAGACGGCGCTGCTCTGGAACCTCAGATCCGTCTTAAAGTCCTGGGCGATCTCGCGGACGAGCCTCTGGAATGGAAGCTTCCGGATCAGAAGCTCGGTTGACTTCTGGTACTTGCGGATCTCCCTCAGCGCCACCGTGCCGGGGCGGAATCTGTGCGGCTTCTTCACTCCGCCGGTCGCCGGCGCGGACTTCCTGGCGGCCTTGGTGGCCAGCTGCTTCCGCGGAGCCTTGCCTCCGGTGGATTTCCGGGCGGTCTGCTTGGTGCGAGCCATTTCAGCTTCCGATCGATTTGAGAATAGAGAGACGAAGAGAGCTTATGGTTGCTTTAGGGTGAGGGACTGGTGCGATTCTGCGGTGTTTTATAGCGGAAATTGAGGACGGGAGTGGAGGGAGATTTTGGAGGGGTTTTGAAATTTGAACAAATTTGAAGGCTATTGTGAGCCGTAGATATGGGAGATGAAGTTTTGACGGCCAGGATGGCGTAGGTTTTCAGAGTCGGATTGCGATCCTCGTGAAGTTGGCTAATCGAATAGTTCGCCTACACGTGGCTTTCGCCTTTGATTTCCGGTTACCGGTTTGACTCTGGTCATGGTTACTCTTTAATTTCCAGTACAAACTACAAACATTTTTTAAATCATTTCAATTTTTTTAAAATATTTTTTACTTCTTTAATTTCTTTCAGTTCTTAACACTTTAATATTTTCTATTTTTTTTACTAACCCTTTTGTTTTTTCAACTTCATCTTTTCATGTTTCCTTATAATTCCCTCTAAATTTTCCAATCCTTTCTAAGAGTGATTATTAATTGAATAAATTTATTTTAAAACTGATATATGAATAATTGTATTAGATTTAACATGTAACATATTTTTAAATTTTTTTTATCAAATTAACATATACAAATTCCGTCCCCAATTTGATTACAAATTGCGGGTTACGGAATAAAATTTCCTACTTTTTGAAATCATTTTATTTACAAATTGGTATATCAATAAGATATAAAAATTACATATTAAAAAATATGTCAAAAGTTCTACAAAAGAAGAGGTGACAAGAATATTTTATTTTATCAAATACTTTATGAAATCGCGTAAACAAACAAAAGTTATCGAGAGGAGAAAGAAAAAAAATTGTAATCTATTTAGGGACGGAGGGAGTATCTTTTAATTTTTATTTAATTATGGATCTTAATTGACTCTAAAAGTCAAAATGAATAAAAACTCTTAAACGGAGAAATATTTATGTCTATTTTTATATTATTTTTTAAAAAAATTAAATATTATCCTCCTAAATTTGATTCGTAAAAAAGAGTGTCTGATTATTCATTTCAAGAGTAATCTTTTAGGACATTTACAATGGGGAGGATGAACTGTCACGCCGCGCCGCACAATCATTGTAGAAGGATGGAAGCGGTTTCCGGCACGGCGCGCATACCCCACTTCCGGCGCAAAGCCGCGCTGAGTTTCCGGCACAAAATCACAATCAGCGGCCGCGCCGTTCACCCCATCCCCCCCCCCCCTTTTTATTTTTAATTTTTTTCAATTTCAACTTGCTCTAAAAAATGAGTTTTGAAGTCTGAACTTGCTCTAAAAATTACGGAGTACTCAATAGGTTGGCAAATGGATGCTCATTCACATGATCGAGCATGTTGCATGTTAGACTTAACAGGCCGAATCCAGGCTCGGCCCATGATGGGCTGCCCGACCGGACCAGGCCCAATATTTATGGGGCCCAAATTTTTTATATATTACGTATTATATATATGCAATTTTTTTTAATATTCTATAGCTTAAATCTTGTTCTCCTATTTTTAAAATGAAATGTTGTAGATGGGGATTGAACCTGAACACCTTTAAAAACAAACCTTGTTGTTTCAAGTTTGGGCATAGATTATATATTTCAAGTTTGCATATAAGATTATATATTTGGTATTGATTTCAATCAAACTTTTGTTTTTTTATTAAAAAACACAACTATATAGTATAATTGTTTTATAAACTTTAAAAAATTATTTAATAAATAAACAAAAAATATTTTTTAAAACTAAAATAAATATGAAGACGTACACAAAAGAACTTATTGTCATCATTAAAAATAGAGAAGTACGAGTATTTTTTTAAATGGAAATATATCTTAATTGGTCGGGATTCAAAGCCCTTTTTCCAGTCTCGTGCCAGGCCATAGAGCCAAATCAAATTTTGTGCTAGGCCTTGCCGATATATTACCGGAATTTTTTAGATTTGAGACAGTTCCACAAGGGCGCCTTTAGACTTGGAGTTGGCTTGGCCCACATTCATAATATTTTTTTGACAATTTAAATATAGTTTCTTAAAAACAAAATATCAAAATATATTATTTTTTCCGTTGCATTTTATATGATCTGTTTTGATTTACGATAATTTACTAAAATTAGTTTCTATTTAATTTATAAGACAATTGAGATAAAATTAAAAAAATAAAATTTATATATTTAAAACAACATCAAAAACTCTATAAAACAGATAGTCTCATGATTATATTATTTTCTCAAATAACTAACGAAAATAGATATAAACGAATAAAATTTGACTATGTGAATAATATACAAGCCATGAAATTTGGGACAAATGGAATACATGTTTGATATAAAATTTATGATAAATATATTATCAAATAAACGACTAATATATGCAAAGTGTTTTGTTTAATAGTGTTACATTTATTATTTTGAAAATCATTATTAGCATGAACAGTTAGTATGAAATTAGAAAATAAAATTTACATATTTAAAATCGACCTAAAAGCTCTATAAAATAAGTGGTGGTATTACTATATTATTTTTTGAAATGAGCAAGAAAAAAAATATAAAAAATAAATAAAATTTGACCATCTAAATAGTATAAAACCTAATCAATTTGGGACAAATGGAGTAGATGTTTGATATAAAAAATATGATAATTATATTATCAAATGAACGACTAATATATGCAATGTGTTTTGTTTGACATTGTTATAATTTTTATTTTTAAAATCATTATTAGCATGAGAGGAACAATAATAAAAATATGTTCATTTGATTGAATAAAATTAAAATTTTCTTTTTTCCTTACAAAAATACATTTGTGTTTTAATAATAATAAATATTACTCCTTCTGTCCCGGAGTATTTATTCACTTTTGACTTGCTTCGATCAAAATTAATAAACTTTGATCCCAAATTAAATAAAAATGATATTTGAAATTGATATAAAATAGTTTTATTAGATTTATAATATAAAATATTTTTTAAATATCATTTTATCTAATTAAAATAATATATATATATATACATATATATATATATATAATATTTAATTATAGGTCAAATATTGAAAACGATTGATTCAGAAAAGTCAAAACTAGAAAAATACTTTGGAGTGGAGGTAGTTATTATTATTATTATTATTATTATTATTATTACTATTATTATTATTATTATTATTATTATTATTATTATTATTATTATTATAGTAGCACTCCGTAATTCTTACTACCTTCGTCCAAGAGCAAACATCCAATTTGACTTTTTTGAATCAAACTCGATGAACTTTGAGTCTTAATTAAGTAAAAATTATACTTTTTCCGTCTCTTACAAAACTTTCCATTTTGACTTTTAAAGGATTTAAGGAAAATGTATTTTCGTGTTGATTTTCCAAAAATATTCTTTGATGTGATGGATAAAATATGATGTGATGGATAGATTAATAGAGAAAAAGTGTGATGTGATATGTAGGTTAAGAATAAATAGTGATAAAAGTGATTTTTTAATAGGAAAAGAGAAGTATTTTTTTGGGACGGATGAAAAAAAAAAGAAAAGTTTTGTGGGATGGAGGGAGCAATATATACGGAGTATTAGATTAAAAATAATTTTAATATATTTAACTTAATTAGAACGTTCAAATAATTATTTTATTACTCCCTCCGTCCGGTATTAATCTACCCATTTTGACTTTTTTCTATTTTTATGGAGAGTTGACAATGGGATGAAAATGTCCAAACTACCCTTTTCTTTAGCCACTATTACCACTGCCCTCACCAGCCTTCTGCCATTTGCTTCCACAATCTCCGTCCAATCTAGCCACCGCCGCAGGCCCCTCTTTACCGCCACCGCCGCCGG